ATCATTGACTGGAAAGAGCTTGGTTTTGAACCAAACCCCAAGAACATGGAGTAATGGCACAATAACGCAAATATGGTTTCTAGGAGACAGCTCTAGATAGATACTAAGTACTAGAACTATGGTTTGACAGCATATTTGCCTTTCAAGCATTGCAGAACAAGGTAACATTCCTCTGTTGATAATTGCGAGAATAAAAAAATAGGCTGAAGTTTGAAATGCTCCTCCCAATGTGATCCTGAACAGTTGTTACTGTAAACATGGTATCTCTTTTGAAATAATCCATTGATTCTTAGGTCTTACTACCTGCATTTTCCTCTAGACTGTAAGCTTCTATCTTGGAGTTCCAATTTGTTTTTTGTTGTTAGAAGTGCAGCCATTTCCATCTGTCATCAGCCTTTAGGCCTAAAGTGGTTTATGTTAACATCAGTGAACCAGCATGTCTTGTTCAGAAGCTTAGGCTTTCTGGTTCATAAGTAGTTAAAGGCAATCTAAGGACAGCCAAAAAACATAATCTTCAATTCTCAGCTTCCTGTAACTCATTTGTATGTCTCAGAAACTTGAGAATAGCTACGTGATATTGTAAATTAAAACACTCTAGCATAATTTTTTCCCTTAAGTCATGTTGGGGATGTAGAGGAATTGAGCAGCACCAAAAATACCACTTGTTTTTAGGCAAGTGGTCTCCTCATCTCCATTCTGAGAGGTCACTGCACTGTTGGAGCCTTGTACCCCTCTTAGCACACCTGTTACTGTTGTGGAAGCATGAACTTGGAAGACAATGAACAACATTCCCAGTACTATGTACTGACTTTAAGGATTGAACAGTGGTTTTTCCCTTACAATCAAACCAGAATAACTCCTCCCGATATGAAAGTTGCAAAAAAAAAAGAACTTTTTTTAAAGTTTTAACTTCCATCTTTACTTTACATCAGTTGTGCTTATAAACAGCTGGGAAAAAAATTCTGAACTGAATTATTTAACTCTTCTCAGTCATCCTTTTTGTCAGAGGTACTTGAGCTATCTTCTTCACTGCCTTCAGGACAGACTTTATTTCTTGCAAGTGGTGTTGCTTCTGAGACCAGGGCTGAGCTTCTAACTGGGCTGTGTTTTCCTTTGAATGGCTCAGTGTCGTGCTCCTCAAACATACCTAACTGGTGTCTCTGTAGATCGATGTATGTAGTAAACAATGAGGCATATTCTGGATGCTTGAGTGCAAAGTTCTTGAACTCCTCTGAAAAACATGAAAAAACAGAGATAATATAGTGCAGCAACAGAATAAAAGAAAATTTCAGTGCCTGCTTCTTTCACTGAAGTTGATCTCCAGTTAGCTCCCTCTAAGAAAACCAAGGAGTATCACACAAAATATCTAAGTCTGTGCTTCAAAACAGTTCTTCCCAGAAACAATGTATGAAAACCATCAGGGAATTTGAGGGAATTAAAAAAGGAAACCGCTTATCAATATGACTGTCAGAGTATTCTTTCTAATAAAAGGATGTAGCTTACCATAGGAGAGCTTCCCGGTTTCATCTGCATCTATTTCTTTAAAGAGCACAGAAACATCAAGCTCAGGCAGCCCCAGTGCTGACTGAATGATAGAAGCAAACTCCTTTTCTGTTATAGTGCCGTCCTCATCCATGTCAAAGAGCTGGAAGAGACAGAGCGTGTAGAAATACTTTGGCATCACTTTGCCTATGAACCCTCTGCGCACATTAGCCATTCATCAGGGCTTTCTAGCACTCAGGAGATTTGTGAACAATGCCTGGGATTTGAAGAGCCTGGGATAAAACTAAGCAGACACTTTCAAGAGCAATGCCCATGCTTTAGCTGGGAATAGAACATTCTGCCAAAACAAACAAACAAACAACAAACATAATAGTATTGGTTCACTAATAAAAGAATATAAAACATAAAACATAAACAAAGATGTATGCTTACTGTCACCATGAGCTATGCTAAGTCTACTGGATTCAGCCAGTCTATACTGGAACATCAGATTTAACTTACTATCACAGTTTATGCTCTGACATACCTAAATTTTAGTGTATGTGATTCATCACTCACTAGGGAATTAATTATAATTAGGAATTTTGGTTCCTGGAATGCAGGCAGTTGATCTACACTGGTCATCCCATCCTGCCCAGTACAGTGACAGTAATCATCTGCTATGAATCACCCCTGGAGAAATACAAGGGATGGATGGCTGTAATTCTTAAATACTTGCTACAGGCAAACTTTGCCATTGTGAAAGAAAAGACATTTAGTGGTACAGAAAACAAGTAGCAAAAGGAACCCATAGTTCCATTTTAGACTGAAACAGGCTTTTACCAGCTAAACCAGTTGTTTTGTGCTGAAACTGGAAATTAAAACAAATTACTGATTTTATAATCAGCATGCTTGTTAACACAAAGAACAGTATAGTCTAGGAAACAACACAGTGGAACAGCAACAGTAGCTGCTAGGCTTGCTTCTTCATAGGAATCTGTACTGATGAAACATCCCTAAAAATGAACAAATCACCTTGAACAGCTCTAGTGCTTATCTCAAAAGAAGCTAGTGGATATAATGGATTGCCACAAAACCTCTGGTACTTCCCAAGTATGCATCAGTACCAGGAAGCACCCAGTTTACAATGAACATGAGTGGTATCTCAATATGTTGTTCAATACAGTTTGTAAGACCAGACTAATGGGTAAAACAACTGGATCTGTGTCAAAGAGCTACTAAAAAAAGAGCCAAGGATTCACAACATGGGCATGCCTGGTCATGTATTGTCTGCATGTACCTGAGATGTGAAAGGAGGTACTGCTCCTTGACTGCTTGTACTATCAGGGCACCACAGGACAAGCCAGCAGCTCTTAGATGCAGCCCAGTTTTCAAAGTGCCAGTCCTGAACAGCCCGTGATTTTTTTCTCCCTCCTCTTTGTTAAGAACAATGACTCTAGTGAGGCTTGACCCACAAGAGGATATTACTCCATCTATTGTGACCTTGAAGAATCACAGCAGAAAAAAACCTCAGGCAAAAAAACAAACAAACAAACAAAAAAAAAACTACAAGTGCTGCTGAATCATTTTTGGAGTTAGCCTGCCAAGTTACATATTCATTAGTGCCTTCAGATGGCTTTTGAAACCCTTCTCTATGATGCCTGCAATTCTTCCCCTCCCTTTCACACTCTAAATGTCAATTGGCTTAAGAGAATTACTCACATTTGCATAACAGATTGAAGCTATAAACTTATGATTTGAAAGCTAACAGACTTACAGTCAGTCTTGATTTGTCAGGTTTGTAGATTTACACTAAATTGAACTTACCTTAAATGCCATCCGAATAGTCTCCTCTGTGTTGGCTGAGTTACAAAGAATAGACAAACCAATTACATACTCTCTGAAGTCGATGGTGCCATCTCCATTCTGTAACCCAAACATGCATGGCAGTAGTTATAGTTAATACCACAAATCACTTTAAAAGCTTTTCTGTAAATCAGTCACAAAACATGCACTAAGACAGTTTACAATACTTGAGGTTTTTGTTCCTCCTGGGAAAAAACCTAGGAGTTCACTAAATCCGTAATACGAAGGCTGGAGTAGCAACATATGCGTTTTCAATAGCCACAAACTGGGTAAAAATTTCTATTTTATGAACAAACAAAACACAAATAAAAAAGACTTAAAACAATTTCAAGTTTTTCTTTAGTACATGGCCTTCGGGAAGGCTCTAAGAATAACTGGAATTCATGCATTTGAGGTAACTGTAGCAGTGCATGCAGCACTGGCACTTGCTGTAGTTCAGAGACCAATACAACACAGTGCAGAAACAACAGGCCAAGAGTGAGGCGGTTGTTTGAGTTTGAACCTTCAGAAATAAAATTTATGTCAGTGAAAGGACAACCAAATCTACCTGGTTTATCTTAAGCTTTCCTCTGAGCCTATGCACTGCCCTACATGCTATTTGGAAGCCAAAGCACTGTCCTACCTTTTAAGCCAGAAAGGCAAGGAATTCATTGGAACAGCCTCTGTAATAATTCCAGTTTTGATCAGAATAAACATTTCAATGCATTAACTACAAAACTACATCAACAAAACATTTGAAGGTTGCTTTGATGGGATTTGTGATTACTTCTGTGTAAGCTGCATTATATTTACAGACAGGGTCAGTAGTGTTTCTGTCACTACACTGGAAGTTTCTTGAGTGTTTTGGGGAACATCTGTCAGGGAAAAAGCCACCTGCAAATCTTAGATAGTGGGACACAGAGCAGGTAATGACAGATGAATGCCAAGCAGTTCATTGTTTTGAATATTCGCAATAAGGGCATTCATCAAAAATGTTTCAAAAGCAAACTGAAGTGTAAAACAGAGTTCCCTTTGCGGATAATGTGTTTTGCATTTCAACAAGAAAAACATTTTCTTAAAAAGTGGAGTCCCTTCATATGAGAACAACACAAAAGTTTTCCAGCTAAATGAGAGAGGGGTGGTCAGCTGGGTAAATCTGCAGCAAAGAGCCAGAGCAGGATTCTATTTCTGGCTTTCCTACCAACTTCTTAAATACCAACCCACTTCAGCATACCAGCCTTAACCTTTCTGCTCGTGGTTTTCTGCTGCTGAACAGTGCAATATGCCAGGGGAGAATAATAAGGCTGCTCTGTAGAGTACTTTGAACATTTGGATGCTATGAAACAGGGATTTCAGTAATTGAATTTAGATTTTCAGATATGTCTTGATTACAAAATTTGCGTAATAATATAATGAAATCAGTATTACTAACCTGTCATCATCAAGCTATTCACAAGATTAAAACTTCTAAGATATAATTTTATTTAGCCTCCAAAACCAAGGCAGAACTCTTTTGCATAGACAACTGCTATTTTCTTTATATTGATGGTCAAACTAATCTTTCTGATTGATCATTGACTTTGAATGTCTTGTACTTCAGAAACCTGTGAATTTCAGATAAACTTTTTAGCACAGATATAGGCTATGAACTTTTAAGTTACTTTCATGGGTGTTTAAGGGTTATAACTTTTGGCAGTTTTTAATAATTAGAAAAGGACAATGTTGTCCCATACACATTTTTACAATTTGTTTTATTTACAAATCTGAGCTCTTATTGTGGTGCAGAGTTTGACTTTCAGTATTTTTTCTGCATTGTAGTTCTCAGAGGTAACAGACTTAATTTTAAAGTGCAACATTACAAATATCTAGTCTTAAAACCACTGAAGCAAGAGTGCCGATAATAATTGTTCAAAGTTCCATAAAATATTATTTTTGGACAGTTTTTCAGGCTGTATTCTTAGCAAAGGATTGCTTGATGTGATTAGAATATTTCAAAAATTTATCTTCAAAATTAAGAATATGTATCACAGTAAAAGAATTTGAAGTAAACTTTAAAATAATTTAATTAAAAGTAATTTCTGAAAGAAGTTAACACAGCTGTGGCTGCACATGGAAATATGAAAAGGAAAAAGACAAAATAAAGATCATATTACTTTCATTAAAGTGCAAAAACGCAGGAATCAAAACTGAGTGCCGTCTGATAGACAGAACTCCAGCCATTTTATTAGGAAATAAAGTCACTATGCTTGCAAGATCATGTTGTGACTAGTTCTACAAACTCTAGGGTGCTGGCTAACTTCCAAATGCTCTGGAATTCTGGTTAAGGCGAAATGATGGGTTTGCTGCCTGGGAAAAGAAATGGGAGTTAAACTGAAAACACAGGAAAACTTTAAGTGCATGTGCAACAGCAGAGCAAAAAGCACTTGCAATTGACTTTCTACACATATCTAACTGTGTTTGCAGCCTATGTACCCAAGAATATTTTTAGGAAGCAACATGTGAGCTAAGCTCCAGTTCTCTAAATGGTAAAGTAGAACATCAGAATTTGGGTATTTGTAGTTATGCTACACAAAACAATCAAAACATAATGTAACCTTAACAACTCTTGTTTTCTTTAAAGAAGCCAGCTTTCTGCTACTATTTTCCCTACAGCGTGCTGTGGTAACTGGAGTTTTGTTGTTGTTTTTTTTAAATAATACAGTAAATCTCAGGAAAACAAGAAAGGTGCACTGTCATAAGCATTTTCCATTTAGATTTGCACAGGGACTGCAAGCCAGATGCAGTACAAAGCTTAAAGTACTACTGCATCAATACTTTTGAGGAGGTTATCACACTTTACCTCCTGCTCACTTTTCTATTACTCAGAGCCCAAATGGCACTACATGGCACAATGGATAACTGAGTGCTTTTCCACTGAAGAATTGTGGGTGGAGGAGGCTGTATACCATTAGGAAGGAATTGGCCTCTTTGGCCTCTTCTCCTCTTTTTGATAGTATGAATATTTTTCTGTTTGCTATTAAACAAAGTACAGAAGGAAAAAGTTTGGGCACAAATTTTAAGTTAGTTTCAAGTAAAAGGTTTCTGCAAGTATACCAGGGAGGATATCGCATCAATTTGAAAAATACTACTTGCCAAGTGTAAGTGCAAGATTTAGAAAACAAAGCTATGGAAATTTACAAAACAAACCAATCCACAGAAACCATTAACATGCAGAAGGCCTGCAGGTATTGAGTGGTATTTCTCAATGAGTCACTGCTGTGTCCCTGGGGAAGGGCAGAGGCATGAGGGCTCTCACATCTGGAGACTGCTTCTAGTGCCAGGCTGCCGATTAAACTCATCTTTTCATATTCCAGCCAGCTTGCACACACCCGAGACAATTTTTGTTTAAGGCAGCACAGCCTTGCCAAAAAATCTGCCTTGTGCAGGAGCTGTTTTGATCAACAATGTAATCCTTAATTCAAAGAAATGCACTTTTGACAGTTCATGCTATTCCTTTTATTTTTTTACTCAGAAGTTGACATCTTAGCCAGAGCTGCATAACTATCTTGAGTGGGATGCTGCACTCTGATGAAATTTCACTCAGATAGCCAAAGGTTAACTTTGACTCTCTGTCTGCTATGTGATTGCATAATTATTTCAAGTTTCTCTAAATATAAGTGTAGTATTTTAAGTTGTTTGCTTTGTAACTATGTTTAGGCTTGAAGGAAAGAGACGAAAGACCAGTTCATGGAACTGTAGAAAGGAGATCTTTGCAGAAGTAGCCTCATATAAGTCTTCAGTTTTGTCCTGGCCACCAGATAGAACTGATAGTAAAACTGAGGTTTTGCTTCAGCAGCTAAGCATGAAAAAGCAGAAGTAGAAAGGAAATGGAATGATTATGTAAGTTCACTGATCATTACAGTTATTGCAACTCTAATGTTGTTCCCTTTGTTAGAAATAACTGCACAAGACTCTACCAGTGACTGCCTTCAGGCAAACAGCCTTTATTCCAGCTTATTGACTGCTGACAAATCAGAACAGCAACATCAACACCAAACTTAGGAGCTTTTTGTATAATAGTTATACTAGTATACAAGCCACTTTACATGAAAAAGTAACTAAGCTTTGATCTTTCCAATATATTCCCTAACCTTAGAATCTAGAATTTTCTGAACTTATGCAACTGCCCAATCAACAATCTACACAGACCCCCCCAGAAAAGCAGACTAGTGCATGCACAAGAGGAACCACTACACTTGAAGCTGAGCCACCTACCACTAGCTACATCTGCCTTAGAAAGACTAAAGGCAAAGACCACAGTTGTGTAGCAGAGGAGTGTAGTCCTCTGGGTGTATCTTCCAGACAAAGCCACTTCTTTGCCACACCTTCACGAATACATGGTCAGCTGCAGCCAGTCTTCAATGGTCACTCTGATGTGCCCACTCCCATCGTGGTCCAGGGCCTTGAAGGCCCGGAACATGCTGTCCAGCCGCACCAGGCAGCTGATGAAGCTGTTGAAATCCATGCTGCCGTCCTCGGCGGCGTACCTGCGCACGATCACCTGGCACAGCTGCTCGTTCAGCTGGAACCCCGCGGCCTTCAAAGCGTTTGGCAGCTGGGCTCTCCCAACAGCGCCTGACTGAGCAGCATCGTACTGCTTGTACACACATTGCCACTTCTTGACGTTGTTCCACAGATACTTGAACTCCTCAAAGCCCAGCTTGCCGCTTCCATCGCTGTCCATGACGGCAACCATGCTACGGCAGGTGTCCAAGCTGAAGCCATCGGCCTTCAAGTCCTGGTGTCTGGAAAGGACTTTGTTCAGGATGTCCCTTAGCTCGGTGGCACACACTTCCATATCATCTCCAGCCAGCTGGGCAAACAGGCGACGAAACTGTCTGATCTCATCGCTCTCCTGAGCTTCCACGTTTGTAAAATGATTGCGAGGAGGTGGTGGTGGCTCTGGATTATACTGAGCTGCTGCTTCACTTATTAGGTTGACAAGACCTCCAACAAGTCCTCCAATATTCCCTGCACCTCCGCCTCCTGTTAGGAGCCCTCCAAGGCCACGTGCAAGGTTTCCTCCACGACTACTACCACTTCCTCCACTCAGCAAAGCTTTAGCAAGGAACATTGTGAAGATTTTCTGACGTGAGATACTCGGAGATCCAGTGCTCTGTAGCTCTCTGAAGCTGTTTTGTGTCTGACTTGGGCGTGGGCAAAACACAGCTTATCTGCATGCTTAGACTTCACCGTGTCTGTGCATGTTTCTGGCTGCCAGTTACGTCTCAGTAGTTTCTGTCAGGTGTTGATACGCCCCTATTTCTTTTCTTCTTTGCATTGTTATGTTTATATGATTTGAGGAACCATTTTGGAGAAAAAAAAAATGAAGTTGAAACCCACAAAGCAGAAGTCTCAGAATGCTTGTGCTCATAAATGAAGCAATTTGAAAACAGCTCTATTAGACGAGCATGACTGTTCCTCAGTTGTGCTGATCTCCTTAAACATGAATGCAAGCCTTGCACTTTGTTTTCACAATCTTTTATTCCCTCAAACTTATAGTGAATTATTACTTTGCTAGTTCTAGTCATTGATGTTGCACCATATAAAGAAAGACAAAGGAATATGATTTCCCTTAATTATTCTGGTTGCCACTGCACATTTCTGATGTAGATACTGTGCTTCACGAGTCAGAGTACATGCCTCAGAAGCCAAAGGACCAAAATGGGGAGGCAGGAATGACAAAAGGAAGAGTACCTAGCTCTGCTAGAGCTTCAAAGCATTCAGCAGATCTGGAAATATGTTTGACTCTTTCATATTTTACAGCTTGTAAAAACTTTTTATGTGGAAAAATCCTGAAACAGTTTTAATCAGCAGTTACCATGGCATCTCAAGGACAGGTGCACTGCTAAGGCTCACTGATCAGGAAGAGTGATGGTGAGCTGGGAAAGCTCTTATGGTAAGAGAAAACCTCCAGTCCACAGGCACTTGCAGGACAAAAGGCTGTGTGCACTGCAGCACATGTGGATGCCTAGACGCAAGATTAATTCTATCTCTGCTCTAGTCATTGATGCTTCTGGTATAGAGAGAAATGCAGCCATTTTTGTCATAGTCAGAGAGGAGAGAATTGGACAGATTAGCACTGCTTAGGGGTAAAGCCTTAATGATCATGTTAACACACAGCCCCCTTTATGGCCAGAGAGAAGCAAGAGGAGTCCCTGTGAAGTCTAACAGCACCCTTCACATGCACAGCAGGAGCACTACAGTGTTCCAGTTAACACTCCAGTTAGTTTCACTCTGCCTTAAATTATCTAATTAATTACAACAGCTAACTAAGCTATCAAAATGTATTTAAGATCAAAATCTGCAGTTAGTAAAAGAAAATATTCAGCTATTACCAGCATGAAGATTATTGTCTGATACTGGTGCAGTAACTTGGTCCAAGGAATGGCTGCCATCTCATAAGTCAGAAACTAAGGAATGTTTTCTCCACTGAAACTTATGAACAAAACTTTAAGTCACCTACCTTACTTGCAGAAACTGTTAACCAAGAAGCATTTACTAAGCTGGACATAAGGAATTACAATAAATATCTTTTTGGTACAATATTTTTTCTAAAAAAATATTGTCAACAAATCAGTTAACCAATTACTCACCCTGTCAAAAAGTAGAAACAGCTCTTTGAGGACATCTGAAATAGGCAGCTTCAAGTACTCGGCAAACTCCTCAATTCCAATTCTTCCCCCTTTGGAAGCACTTGCAATAGCAGCAAAAGTATCCAACTGCTCTCTGACATGATTCCATTTTAGGCTATGCAAACATGAGGGAGAGGAGATATTTCTATACAGCAGTTCTTGGACAGATGGAATTTCAGTAGGAGTTACAGTGTTCAACGATGAAAAATTGACAAACAGGGCATGTGTCTACAGCATTTCTAATGCTGTACTTCAGACCAGATATTTTACTTTAAATCAGAAATTAAGGACTGATCCTCTCTGGTTATTAATATTAAAAGCAGGCAGTTCTATGCTTGGGTATGTCAGACTTCCACAGAATAACTTCTCAAGCCTAGAATTGTCTGTCCAATTACTAGGCTGCTCCAGCAGAGAGCTTTTAATTGCCATAAATTCAGGTGTAGCAGTATTTTGCTGCATCATGCTCTCGGGTATTTCCTTGACAGAGGGAGCAGGTCTCAGCTCTACTAGCAAGCTCTCCACCCAAACACCAGTACTGCTAGAGCCTCAGAACTGTCAGATCTCTGCAAAATACACCACTGCACCTCAATAAGAATAACTAGGATTGCCATGTAACTATTCCAGATGGAATTCTATAAATGGATATATAGCACTTAATAATAAGGCAAGATTTATTGGACACATTCAGATTTCACCACAGCTATGCCAGGTTATTTGATGGAGTATGGTTACATGGCTCAGTCCTCAAATTCCACTGTATCCAGACAGAAAAACTGACATCACTAGTGACACATGGCTGCACAGTAAAACTCAGAGCAGCAAGCTGAAGTTTCAGGCTGGAAACTTCAAGGCAAAAAAAGGCTTTTTACTTCCTGCTACAAGCTGCTAGTGCCTCATCACTAAAGCAATTTAAATTTCCATCAATGCTACCACTGAGTGCTCTACTTTTCTCACCCTTTGGTGAGAGTAATCTTTTCTCTTGCAACAGTGGTGACAAAAATTGCTTGGGATTAGTCCTTACTGGGATTTTCCTCATCTCTAATTTCCTTGTAATTTATGTAAGTTGTGTGCAGAAATACACTATATTACACATGACCAAGTCTGTTTTCTGGTTATTTAAGCTTTGGCAGATGGCCATCAACACCTGCAGCACTTTAGTAATTATGTGACCAAGCAATAAAACTTCCCTTACTTGAGTTTCTTGCTAATTTTGGTGAACTCCACCAGCCCAGCTTCCATGGGTAAGGTTAACTGCCCTGCTGAAATCATCAGTCTGCAATCTTCAAAAGTGTGATCAGTGATTGGCACATTCAAGGCACTGAAAATTAAGGAAAAGCAAAATCAATTCCATATATATGAAAATAACTTTTTGTAGATGGTTTCCCTCTCTGATACATGAAACAAGTGGTAATTTATTCTTGCACTGCTGCACATAGGACAAAGCAATATACACCATTTCAGGAAACTGTGAAACCACACCATGAAACTATGTTATGGGTAGCAGCACCATGAGGTTTTAAGATTTACAATCTTGTAAATGCAGCCCAGTAATGCTGGAGAACAAACCACCACCCACTCATCCTTGCCAAGCAAGGAGAGATCATTTTATTCCAGTTTTTTGTGGATTTCACTTACTATGTTCCAATGTAAGACAACCTTTTTTATGCTCCATGTAAAAACAATCAGGGTAATCTAGTGTAGGATTTTGACACTTCTTACATGAAAATCTAGAGCAATTCCTATGTACAGTACCTGGGACTCGACTAAATTGTACTTTATGGCTAGGCTGTATGTGGAATTGCTGGATATAGCAGAAGGTTTTATTGATGATCAAATACTTACTTTGCCATGGTTTGTCGGACTCTGTTGGCAAAAAGAACTGGATCATTCTTTTCTTCCTCAGTAGGAATATGAACAGGCAGAAACTGAAAGGGATGAGTTATCCAATCAATTCAATAGTTACCACTTCATTAGGAACATGAGCAATTTCTTATTTTTGTTTGAGTGCAGGAGAACAGAAGAAAAACATCAGCTATGAAGTGAAAGGACCGCTAGAGGTCTCAGCCACCTCAGAAACTGCTCAGGCTCCTCTGCCCTCCCCACATAAATGAGATTTACTACAAAACTCTCAAGGATTGGTAGAAGCTTCTTTAATATGTAAAATCAACTCCCCAAAGAAGGAAAGTATAATAAATACATAGTTAGAAGATGAAATGCTGCACTGGTAAGAATGTGAGCTTGAAATACTGCACATTTCTTTTCAAAGATGCTTTTTAAGTGATGTTATATCTTAGACTAGTATATGTGAGAGTTTTAATGTTTTTAAGTACACACTGCAGTCCCACCCTGTTAATTGCATCTGTCAGCATGTGACTGATAAGTTTCCTGCACTTTTCCCCTTCCCCGACAAAAACATTAAGAAATCATAGCTCTGAGTTGTAAGTAGAACACTAACTGGATACAATTTTGGAAATTCAACCAAAAGGCAAAAAACCTCCTCTCCTACCACACCTAGGAAACACCCCAGTTATCTAAATGGAAACTTGTTTACTACTGAGGATTCAGTATTATTATGTATGAACTTGGAAGTACACCTTGTCACCAAAATAACCTCTAGATGAACTATTATCTATTGTGGCATGAACCAGCACCTGTTTGCAAAATAGTGTGTGTGGAGGAGTGCTTTCCTCTTTCTTCTTCAGTGTTTGCTCATAGCTCTGCTTACTGTGCCTTTCCCTAACTATGGTTATAATTTATCTGAGTTCTGCTGCTCTGCACCCTGCCCTTAATTCCTAGAATATTGGAAGAAAGTTGTTAATTATGTGCCAGTGTGTTGCTTTAGTTATACTGCAGTTGCTGGTGATGCATTATTATAGTGCTAACTGTCCCATATAAACACAGTTTGTCCTGAACAGCCATTTAAAGTTTGTTTTTAAGGAATGCTTTCTCTTTATCATTAAAATCAGTGAGTTTATGGAATTGGTTATCTGTCAAATAACCATAAAATTTTTCTGTTTGTAATTAAAAGTTGTGTCCCCTGTAAGGAGAGGAGAAGTCCAGCTGTTCATTTCATTCCTTCTGTAAGCAGTGGCCAGCTTTGTCCAAGGTCTGAAATAGGTTCCTGGTTATTATAACTCCCCTTCAGAAGTCACATAATTCTTAAACTGAGAAAGTCCAGGCACACAGTACACTGAAATCTCTGAGGTTCCTGTGTGAGAAGTCATAACTCCAGGTTTATCTACGCAAACATAGTCATGGTTTTGGAAGTGGTCATTACTTCACTTGTGGCTGAGGTCTTGCTCACAGAGCAACGTAAATTCCTGGGAGCTTAAACACTACCTTCACCCCCTTCAAAACTACCCCCTACAATTATTCATAAAACCTGTTTGCCAGAAACAACAGCTGAGGAGCAAGAATTTGGTTTCTTGACCTCCTACAGTGGCTGCATGATCTCACATCTCAGCCGCTTATCTGCTGGAGCGTGGCAAATACATCTTCCCAGTCAAATTCATTCCTGTAAGAAAATTCTTCACACCTCTTTCAATAGCAAAAATATTTCTCTGATCTGTTTGTGACCTAGTCTCTCCTCTTAC